ACAAACACATATAGATACACACACACATATACACACACACAAACGCACGCACGCAAATTCACACAATAACACAGACAAGCGGAAAGACACGAGCTCATTAACATGCTTCTATATAAATGGTAGGATTAGGGTTCCTTGGTTTAATAATGCAGAAAAAATGTGAAATAACCCCGAACACTTTATAAAAGTCTCTTGTTTTATTTTTATTCTGCCATGCTGGCCTACACATGTGCTAACGTAACACGATTCTTTTCGAGTCACGTCCTCCAAGATGTTGGAATAACATGGAAACGATCAAATATAATATTAACAATTTTGCTGTGTCAATACTATACAATACGATGAAATTGTAGAAGTCAGTAATCTATTTGTAGTGTAGGTTGTAAATGTAGTTTTGGGGAAGAATTTGAAAACTTAAAAACAAAACGAAAAACAATTGCATAGAAAGGCTGAATATTGAAAAGAAATGAGTAAATTGTTTGTTTAAATGAAGCGCGACCTTTCTCAAAAACAATTTTTGCGAGATTACGTCAAAGTGTTTTCATCTTTCAATTTGCCTAACTTAATTAAATTGCGAAAAAGTATAGTGAAATGTTTTTTTTTATAAAATTCGCACTTTTGAAAATCTTTTATTCGTTTGCCAGCAGCAAACAATTACAACATTATAACGCAAAGACACTCAAAATGATTGAAAACAAATTTTTGTCAATTTAAAATGAAAAATTTAACAAAACGTCAACGACTTTAATGTGAAACATGATTTGAAAACTGTGAATTTGTTGAAGAAGACATGTGTCAATAAAATACAAGGAGGCTGATCCGTTTGATCGGAGCTTTCAATCAACTAAACAACAACAAAAACATCAATTCATATCGCTGACTGTTACTCAGTTGCATTTGTCACAAAGCAATTTTTAGTGACAACTAAAGTGACAACGATAATAATAGAAATTATTATTTTTTATTTTCATTTTGGCTTCAAAACTACCTTGCTTCGCGTCATACATTGAATTAATCAAACACGTCAAGGTGATGCTACTTGAAAAAATCTTTTTGAAAAAAAAATTTTATAGTTTATTTTTCAGACAAAAAATTCTAGTTTTTTACTTCTGATGCAGTTTAACATAACAATATAGCAAATGTATTATGATGTTAACATCTGAAATTTCTGTTTAAAATTTTAGTTGATTTTGAAAATTCTTTAAATCACCTGAAGATTTTTAGAAAAAAACATTTAATTTAAATACATGCGATGCAGAAACGTCTTATCTTAAAAAACAAATATTAAAACTTGAAAAAATATTTGCTCCAAACAAATTAAAAATGAAATAAAATTGTTAAAAGTTTTTTAATATTTTGATAGGCAAACAAATTTGAAGTTCACCCTATTTTTAACCGGAGAAATTGTATTCCTTGCCATCTCCGTAATAAAACACTTGGAAACAAAAATTTTGTTGAAAACTTATCTAAAGTTTTATACGAATTGTGTGAGAGTTAATATTCTCTTTATACTTTTGCGGAGTTGTTGTGTCTTTTTGCACTGTAATTATTTTATGCGTCGTAAAGCTTCATTTCGTTAAATGGGGAAATCTCGTTATGAAAGGGCTTGGTCTGCCTGCCTATGCGAAGTGCAATGCAAACGAAAATGTTTTATTCATTACTGAATCACACACCTTAGTAATTTTATTTTATTATTTAAAGAATTTAATAATTATGGAGTTTAAAAAAATTATAAAAATATTTTATATATTACATGATACTTTTTTAAAATATTAAATAAACTTTTTAGAAAAAGTCACAGTCAAGAAAATAAAAACAAAAATAACAAAATAAATATTTTATTCAGCGCGTGTATGTAAATAAATAGAAACGCGCGTATAAAAAATAATGGAGAAACGTTGAATACAACGCTTAACAATGTGTAAGACCCAAGTGAGATAAGCTCTATGTACTAAAGTTTCTCAAATTATTCTATTGCTCGCCCTTCTCCAGAACTCTGCGTTAGTCTCAGTGTTATGTTTTGTTCCGCCTTGATGGGATGGGATGTATTTTATCAAATTTTTTTCAAACAGAGATTTTTTCAGTTATTTTATATTCAATTTGTTTAAAAATGTGTTATTCATGTTGCAAAAATTTTAAAAGTTGAAAATAAAAAAACTTGTTTCTCTTCAGAGAAAAGTCGCAAACAATATTTAAATTACAAAAATTTTTGCTGAAAAATCAGAAAATATTAATTTTTTGTTGCAGAGTTTATGTTGTAAGTAACACATCAGCGTAGACGTACGTTGGCTGGCAAGGCGATAAAAAACCCAGCAGAAACACAACCTCCTCAAAAGTTGTTGAACATGTCGCAGCGCAAAACGTTGCAACAATAACAGCCAATAAACAACAATTCAACCAAGCAGAGCACGTGAAATGATGTTGGGCTGATGTTGCTTGCTTAATAAAATGTAATAACTCTCACCACCAAAATAACTGAACGTAGAAAACCGCATCTACACTAACATACCAACTAGCCTTACGTATAACATACTTCAACACAAATACCAATTAGTCCATAAACAAACATATTAACCACGTACAAATACCCTGCTACAAACAAAACGCAGACATGCAAACATGCAGATGCAATAAATATAACAACAACAATTTACACACGCACGCGCACACACATGTATATGAAAGCACACCGAGAAATTATCGCACGAATCCACATATATTCTTACCTATTAACGTGCTAAATAATTGATTGAGGTACTACTAACAGAAAGCAATAATACTTTCGCGATACAAACGGTTCGGTGTGAAATAGCACTAATGCATATAAGGACATAATTATAACACTTGGTACAACTTAACAACACAAGCTTGCACAAAACCTACATAACCACTTTTATAACGTACCGAGCTATGCTTATAGAAAACTTATTCAACACTTATTATAACATGCAAATACAAGTTGAAACAACTTTGTATTGCACCCGTCATATGGTAACAAACACAAGTTTACTCAAAAGTACGCCACTAAATGTAATGCAGGCGCCCTGATTGATGATGTCTTCGCATGTGTGGAAATTTATTTTGAAGGAATATTAGCAAAATGGAAAAATGATTTTATCCTTGGAATATCCACCATGCGGAAAAGTGGCATTTAATGATTTTGGCACCAAAAATGTTATTCTTAAAAGATTGAAATTTTTAATGTTAATTCAAAACTGCAGCGAATTTTACTACATCCAGAAAAAAAATCAATCCATATTAAATAAAATAAAATGAAATCTATTGGAGTGACATGAAATTTATCAACTGTGAGAAAGTTAACACGCACAAGAACGTTTCCAATGTAACATAATGTAATGTAATGTAATGTATTGTAATGTAATTTAATGTAATGTAAGGTAATGTATTTTAACGTGTATGTAGAGTGCGAGTGAACTCTCATATTTCATAATTTTTACAACGTCACTTATTCATACGCGCACGTGCCAATATGAAAGTGCACTGAAGAAAAATTTCTAACAAACGTGCACACGGACGAAGTTATTGATAAGATACATACATGCATCCAGATATCTATCGAAACGGGTAAACACATATATCCAAACATACATACATCCCTCTTAACATGTATCCACTCATTCAACCAGACGTGCATTCGTACATCCATCCAGACATGTACGCATCTGAACTGAAGAACGCAAACATAAATATCCAGCTTATTCGCTATATTTGCATTAATGTATTTGGGTGTGCACTTGTGTACTACATGCATTCACACAAATACGCGCGTCCTTGTATGCATTCAATTAGATTTTCATATGCTAAAATTAATTAATATTAATTTGAGATGTACATTATTACAACACTTTAAACGTTAAACGAAACTGCACATTAACAACAAAAACACACTTTAGAACAGAAACTAGAAAAGATTAATTAAATACGTAATGCAGCATACTTTTAAAGAGTACACCTACACACACGCAAGCGCACAGACGCACACAGCGAGTATCTATCCGTCGACCACACAAAGTTGTTTCGCGAAATTTCAGTGCATAAGCACACGAACATAACAGCAAGCGCCTGCATAAATCCCTTTAGTAAATCCAGCGCACAAATATAAATCTACCTTTAATGCACTGTCCATTGCTTAGTGACTGGCTGACGGATTAACGGACACTGTGGCGAAAAAATTTTATGACCGAAAAAGTATTGAGGCTTCTTTTAATTATTCAACGGAAGGATTGGACTACCCCGCTAAGTAAATGATGATGAAGATGATGATGATGGTGGTGAAAATTAAATTGATCACATTTATGATGATGATGTTTTTGCTACAATGATGAGATGATGATAAATGGTGTGAAATTTTGTTGTTACGATGTGAGTGTGACTATTGTGATTGTCATTATAACAACTGAAGTTCAATAATGAACATTTCGGTTATTTTATCAAAATTACTAAATGGTTTCATTTGGCATAGAGCAATCTTTTTTTCTAAAGATTCCAGCCAAATAGAATCATATTTAGTTACACTGCAATGATCTTCATCATCATTCTCCATAAAAACATTTTCGTCGTTCATCCTCTCCAGTCACATCACCACATCACCGACAAGCAACATTATCATTTTCATCATTATCTCGATCTTCATCATTATCTCATTATCATTCCATCAGCATTCCATCATCATCTCATCATCATCCCATTATCGTCTCCATCGTCATCCTATCATCATGACATTAACAAAGACACAGCGGACGGCTTGATGGTGGCGTATCGAAGTTTTGAACGATAAACACATTACTCAACACTAAATGTGATAAAATATGCATAAAGATTTCTCTGCCTACATGGCAACATGTTGGGTGTGGGGTGGTGTGGTGATCAGTTTATCTACATGCTTCTTTAGTTGGGTGTAAAAAGTAAATGCTTTTTTTCTCATACAAATTTCTTTCTGAATAATCGATGACGCTAACGTTGAAATTATTTCGAGCCATTTAGGTTGTGGATCGTGGAATTTTTAAAGGGTACTCGAGCGATGTGTGAATATGCCTGCGACCAGATGGTGCCAAAAAAAATCTTTTAGTCGATGCAGAACATAGGAAGGTTTTTTCCTATGAGTATTTTTAAGAATAAAGTTATTTTAAATATGATTTTTTTTCTTAGCATTTTAAAACTTTATTTTTTAACCGAATGGAAGTTGCAGGTCTCCAATAGACACTGTAACCCCAATCAATTTAGAAAGATTAAATAAAAAAAAATGTGAATATTTAATAAATTATTATAATTAATTAATTATAAAAATTAAATTCGTTTACAATATTTATAAATAATATTTTAATATACTAACAGTAACATTATCATTGCCATTTTTGCAATTATTTTTACTGTTATTATTAACAAGTTCAGGTTATTTTTCTGTTCAAACCAGCTTGCTATCTGCTAATGAAAACCTTTTCCTTAGGTGGAAGATATGTTTTTCACATTTTCATTCATTTGAAAATTTTTTCTAAAGTTTTGTTACTCTAAAGAACTAACAAACTTTGCCTAGCAATCCACGAACAATAAGAAAAAAAAAATCTTTTAAGATGACATCATTAAAACCAAACGCTGCCCACTGTTAAACTTCAAAATTGTGGAGACGAAACTCGAAAACTGTGTGGATGGAAAATAATTTGCAGTTACTTAGTTCTCTATTAAATTGCCGTCTTCAAGTTTTAAAAAAATCACGTAGACATGTTAAAGTGAAGTGAAGTCAAGTTTCTTGGAGTGATTTAATTTTGAAAATTAATGAGCCTCATGATCAGACGACTCCTTGCACATTAAATGATCTCCATCAACTAACTTCCTCAGTTAATTTATCAAAAATGAACTTAAATATTTCAAACCACAATTTTTTTGGTGACTCTTTTTAAAAATTAAATTTGAAGTATTGGTTACGTTCATTAAAATAAGTTTTTGAATAAAAAAAAATTGAAAAACAGTTTTAGAAATTTAAATTAAATTTTGTAATTAGCGTCTTTCTAAACAAATTTGTGAGTTAAAGTAATATAAGAAAAACAAAATCAGAAAAAATTAAATAAAATAAGCAATCGAATGATTAGTAATTGAATTATTAACTATCAAGTTAATAAAAATAACTCTATCATCAACAAGTAAAGTATTAAATAATGTATATGACTTTATAAGACATAATGGCATAACAGTTAACAGCACATGGTCCTGCTTTGCTGTGATCTGCTCCGAATACATAAAGTTCCCTAACTGTCAAAGATGATGTGCTGTGGGATGCGTGGCTTAAACGCGTAATTGTGTGTGTGTGCGTGTGTGTGTGCGTGTGTGTGTGTGTGCGTGCGTGTGTGTGCGTGTGTGTGTGTGCGTGTGTGTGTGTGTGTGTGCGTGTGTGTGTGTGTGCATGTACATGTGTGTGTGTGTGTGTGTGTGTGTGTGTGTGTGTGTGTGTGTGTGTGTGTGTGTGTTGATACATAAGCAACATAGATTATATATAGCAAGTAAGTAAAAGTTAGTACAACACGTCCACAGTCAGATACTCGTACATGAAAACATTTTTTTACAAAGAAACAAGAAATTACTTTGGTGTTGCAGTAGAAATAATGTCCCCGCGTCTGAATTATCGCTCGTCAGAGGTGCCGATGATGATGTTGACGATGAAGATGATGAAGATGATGATGAGGAGGAGGAGGATGAGTAACTTTGTACGTCACGATAATGATGATGGTAGAACTCAATTTTAACCTTGTTAGTTCTCGTGACTAACAAATGTTTGTACTTTTGGTCGTTTTGACAAATTTTAATCAAATGTCTGCTAAACTGAGCCGTTCTTACCTCCCGTCTGAAAGTAATTTCTTTTTGTCTCTCAGGCTGCTGACTTCTTTCTACGTTTGCCTGGAATTTCTTGACGTTTTCATCATGTTTGTTTCTTAGTTGAGATTTGTTTGTCAACTCACTTGAAGTGTAATTTACGTTGCGCTTCACTTTTAAATTGTTGTTCTTCTCGTAGACGTTGTTGTGGTTGTTGTTGTTGTGCGTGTCTGGTACAATTTCGATGGCGTAACCTAACACGATGCAGAGTTGTTGAGAATGTTGGAAGTAAGATTGCTGATATGGTGAGTGATGTGGTGGGAAGCGTTCGCGAGTTAACGTTGGAGATGAGGCAACTTGGGCCAGATGCAGTGGAGAGTTAGGATGATTCGAAGGAACAGGTGTCTGCCGATTTGGCGCTATTTTGAAAGTTTTGCTGGGATTAAACAGTTCAGATAAATCTCTCTTTTTAATTTGTAGAAACTTTGTTGATGTGTTGAAAACTGATAGATTTATTGAATTGGTCTTGACAATTTGTTGGAGATTTTTAAATACAGAAGAGTCATTTCGATAGAAACCAACTTCTTTTTCATCGTAATTATCATCTCTTGGAGTCAGGGGCTCGTGTCGCCTTGCGATCGATGATGTCTTAGGTGCGTCCGGTTGGTAGTGGAAAATATCCACTTTGTCATCTGCACGCGCTGTAGAACTGTTGATTCTGTGGTTGTTGCCGCTGATGATGTTTTTATTAGCGCCGTTGTAGTTGTTGTTCTTGGAAATATATTGGTTGCTGAAAAAGTTTAAGATGGTCAAGTTGATTTGCTGTCCTGGCGAGGCTTCGATTATAAATGCACAGTTCGAGCTTGATGATACAAAATTGTTCAAATTTGTATTAACACGCCTGTTGTCCTTTTTATCAATTTCACTTGTGAGAATTTCGCTAGAGATGTACTGAGACTGAAGAGTGGATTTTACTGTTTGGCTCTGGCAGATGTTCCCATCATCTGTAATGTAACAGTTTATTCGGTCAATATATTTCTGGGTGCATATGAAAATCGGCATACAGGATTTTAATAGTTCAAATCATATCTCATCTATATAAAATAAAAAAAAATTATCTATTTGGTTTTGAAAAGATATTGGCAGGTATAAAAAATTTATATTTTTTTTGTAACCTATTTAAAACACAAATTCCAAACACAAATAAAAATAAATACCTATATGACTTATTGCGTCTCGAAAGGTTTCAAAAGCGTTCTGCAAAACTTCATTTGCAGCGAAAAACGTAATGGTTATTAAGAGCGTAAAGAAACAAAAAACGAATCATTAGCAATGTTTTATGTGGCTTTTAAAAGCAAATAAAGGTTCTCTTTTACGAAGACAATCGCTCTTAAAACAATGAAGAAACTGCTCACTACGTTAAAGTGTTTAATGAGCCTGATATATTCATTAGGAGCAGGAGAAGTGGTGATGAAGATGCGAGAAATGTCGGAACGGAGAAAGGTCGAGATTTTATATTTGCTTGTGATAACAATTATTACAGACAATGCAGTAAAAGATTTAAAACTTTTTGTTAAATTTGAAAGTACGTTATCTGGAAGTTACAATCCTAAAAAAATTCACAGTACGTTTTTACTAAACCTCTCCTCATTTGACGAGTAAACAGTATTAAAAGTTATTGCCCATCCAACTTCGAAACAATCAATTTTTCAATTTCCAACGTAATGAAGTGCTGTAGATAAAAAAAATGAAATGATTCGCACCGTAAGTGCTGAATTCAAAAAATAAATTAGTCGTAAACTTAATTGACAATCAGAAATGTTTGTAATTTTATATAATTGTGTTTCTATTTGTCTATGTGTGTATGTACGTTTAAAAATTCGCGTGTGTGTGTGTGTGTGCATTAACGAATGTTGTACATGCATGTGTGTGTACAAGCATGAATATATAATGCCCCTGATTGCATCTGATGAATTAAATGTTAAGTGATGAACAGTAGATAAATATTGGAAGGTTATAGGATATCTTTTAAGTTATACAATAAATATATGTAATGCATTACAAAAAGACTGTGTACGTGTACCTGTACGTGTATGTATTTATGTGTGTGTGATAGTTTTTCTTCCTCTAAGTGTGTGTGTGTGTATGTTTGTGTACATGTATGGCTGTGCTTGGTGTACGACTTCAGTGTGTAAGTGTGTGTGTGTGTGTGTGTGTTGGTGTGCGTTTGTGTGTTTGTGTGTGTATATATATGTGTGTGTGTATGTGTGGATGTGTGCACGCGCACGCTCATATGTTTTCGCGAACGTCATTTAATGAATCTCGGTGTACTTGATATGAATGCGAATTTGATTTATGTCACTCATCAATATTCATTGTTAACGTTTCGTTGTCTAATGCACGTTATTGTTATTAATTATCATTTGCTGCTGCATACCTTTATTGTTCTTCCAAAATTTATTCCATCATTTTCCGTTTTCTTCTTCTGCTTTTTAGCGATTTTCGGCTATAGACATTTGTCAAAATGATATTAATTCTAAAATTAGCCTCATTTCTTATATAAAAATTAATTTATCAAGATGTTCATTCTATTTCCGTACATTGCATGACGTAATATATTTACGATTTATCAAAAAAGGGGATCATCTCATGAAAAATTCATTTTTTTATTTGCTCAAAACTCGGGCATTTCTCTCTGCCGATAAAACAAAAAAAATAAATAATGACCACTAAAATTACAATATAAAAATATATAATGTCGACAATGACCGATAAAAAATGCATACAATTACCTAAAAAAATGTTAGATGAGGAACATATTTATAATATAACATATTGATTAATAAAATTTTTCTACAGAACTTCGAATTTATTATTTTGCAAAATATAATCAACTTGAAAATTTTGAACTTTGACCGACCTTCAACAGGCAGGCAGGAATATTCGACATGCAAGTATGGCGTTACATCGTGAGGGCAGGTCTGGAAAGTGAACATGATTGGGTCTGGAAGTTTGAAGATGCATTTTTCTCTACCCGAACATCTGGTTGGTCGCGTTGGTAGAGCAAATTATCGAGTAATTTTTGAAATATTGATAATTCATTGTATTTGTTATTAACATGTTAATTTGGCAGGTCAAATAGTTGAGTTGTTATTTAAATTTTGCGTGAGTTGTGTAGATTTGCAGATATATTTTTTATTTAGCTGTTGCCAAATTCTTTGAAAACGTTTCAATTAAATAACGCCTTAATTGTTTTTCGTCGTATAGTTAGTAAATAAAATAATTTAACAGTTTATTACACATAGAAATTTTGAAGTTGAACCATCAAACAACTTTTTTATTTTAAAATTTTTTAAAACTTGAAACCTTTCATCCAGTACTTTGGTAACGTCATCGAAACATCCCAGGAATCCCAAGTTTCTCTGGACGCACTTGCCCAACTCCATGCGTCCATATTTGGCCAGTGTCATCAGGACAACACTTTTTAGCGGTTTTGACAAAGAGAATGAAGATGACGAAGATGATGAATAAGATGAAGATGACGAAGATGATGAAGATGATGCCGTTCTGTGGGAGCACGTGATGTTCACTGTTTCCATAGTGCAGAAATCGAACTTGAAAACTTGGCCTTATAAAGTTTATGAGATTTATTTTTAATTAAATTTTAATTTTAGTCTTTGCTTCTCAAAAATAAAATAATTCAAAAAGAGTACAATTATGTATGACCAAATTCAATCAAGTTAACGTTGTAGCTGGAACATACAAGGAAAAAACTGGCAATAAACGATATTCTGATTACCATTTAAAAAATGTATTGTCGGCTTAATTTTGGTGGTTAAAACTATCACTCTGAGTACCACACTCATCAACGTTTCCATCAATCAAAACAAAGTCAACATAATTAGTTTTTTTAGAAAGAGCAAACATCGCTCGCTATTTGTGGAGGGTGTAACGTTTTTGTAGGAACTCTTCTTTTGAGTCGTCATTTTTTTTATCAAGATTACAAAATAACTAGGCAAATGTACGAAATAACACGTGAGCAACAAAAGTTTCAGTTAATATTTTTTAAAAATTTTAAATTTTTTCAAAAGATTGGCGAGATGAAAATACTGGTTTGTTCTCATTTTCGATTATTTAGTAAATAAGAAATGCCTTGTCCCTTTAAGTCAGCGTCTGCATCTACAACAACCATCATCGTCATCATCAACAACACCGTCACCATCATCATGGCTATCGTTATTGTCATCATCATCATCACCATCGTCGTCATCATCATTTCCACAACCATCACCATAACAACCCTGTTGCGTCAATCTATATTTTTCCATTTCCGTTTGAATTATAAAACCGCCATGAAAACACAGAGGGGAGAATAAGCGCATGTCTTAACGCGTTTCATAATGTTGTCGACAACGTCTTTAATGTGGCCGTCGTTGCTATTGTCGTTATTTTTCTTATTGTCCTTGTTATTTCAATTTTTTTTGTTGCTATTTATGTTGTCATTGCTGTGATTATTATTATTATTGCTGTTGTTGTTGTTGATGATGCTTTTAATGGTATTATCTTCGTAATAGCTAATGCCATCGCTTTTAGAAGTGTTGTTGCTACGATTGCTATTGTCTTGGTTTTTGGATGGTACGATTCGTATCAAGTGTTCATTGTTGTAGTCTGTGTTATTCAAGTTAGATCATTTCAGTTGGGCCTTCCACTTGAGTTTTAAACTTCAAGAATTTTTTATTTACTGTTTAGCATTCTGTCACCATGTTGTTGTTACTACTTTACTATCTATATGCTATTCGTCTAACTTTTTTAAGTTATTGTTATCTCAAATTTTCAAATTGTCATTAGCTAATGTTTACTTAAATAAAACTTTACTTTTCTAGAAATAGCACTTATTTTATAATTAACTCGTTTTGGAAAATACTCCAGAGGGATAAAAATGTTTCTCGCAAATTTCATAAAAAACATTTTGAAGTCTGATTTTAGGAATTCTAATTCTAACGAAAATCACGAGAAAGAATGAAGAAGTTAAAAGTTAAAGATAATGATATTAAGAAAGAGGATTTGCGTAGCGAGGTCGATAACAGTGTTAACAACGGAGTTTGCAGGGTAGCTCAGACAGTAAGTGACATGCCTCTCCTATTACAGTTTATATTGAACAGTGAGATGTTTCGAATGCTGGATGCGCTTTGAAACAACAAATGTTTTAGTCGCACTTTGAAACAAAAATTGAGACCTTCAGTTTTTCCTATTACAAATTTTGTTAAGTGCATCACCATCACAAGTTTCTCTAGTATAAATTATACTAAATAGTGTCTATAGAAGTAGTTATTCACGTAGTATTATTAATAATAATAAAATTGTAAATATAATAGTAACAGCAATTGCAGCACAGTAATAGTAGTAGTAGTTGTAATAGTAATAGTAGTAATAGTAGCAGTAGTTCTAGTAGCAGTAGTAGTAGTAGTAGTGGGGGTGGTAGTAGTAGTAGTAGTTCTAGTAGCAACAGTGGCGGTAGTAGTAGAAGTTAGTAGTAGAAGTATTAGTTAGTAGCTAAGAGTAGTCTTAATGAAAATAGTATAAAAAGCAGTAGAAATACTATCATCGTGACTTTTTATTAGGCTGATGTTTACATTATTATTTTGGCCATTAGCGATGCTCGCGCAATTAAATTAGCTTTTTATCGTTGTTGTTGCTACTGCTGTTGCTGTTGTTGTTGCTGCTGCTGTTGAAGCTATTGCTGTTGTTTTTGTTGTTGCTGTTGTTGAAGCTATTGCTATTGTAGTTGCTGTTGTTGACTTTGCAGAGGTGTAGCTGCTGATAATTGTGTTCTTGATGTTTTTCGTTTGTTATTGAGTTTGTTAATCTGACGATAAAAATTGCTGTCGTTATTCATTAACTAACATTGCTGTGTGTATGTATTTTTTTAAATTCTCTTGCTAAAATAAATATAAACTTTCAATAAAATTGTTGATTTGCATTTTTTTTTCATGCTGTTGTGACTAAGCGCATGAGTTTTTTTTATTATTTTAATGAATGTTATTAAATTTTTTCCTGTTTTTTTTTCAGCTTTGTAGCCATGTTGTCGTAACATTTGCACGTATAATTATGTCGATTTCATGACTATTACTGCTTTGATGGTGCTGTCGCTAAGGATGATGATGATGACGATGATGATGACTAATGACGATGATGATGATGATGAAAATTACGATGATGAGGA